ACATTTTTTTAACTATGGCGGTTTCTGACATGCTTTTGACTGAGTGCTGGTGATCTGTGTCTCTACGATTTTGGTAAACACAGCGCCATCTGTGTAATCACTACGAGCATCACGACCACTAATCAAGGTCCAATTGCTGTAAGGAGTGCAAGTGACACATCATAACATTTCATAAATTCCAGACATTAAGGGTTAAAGGAAAACTATTGTATAAAAAAGGCATGAGGACCTGGACACTGCCACAGAAGACATGCACCAATGGCATAATTGTTTAAAAAAGATATCACACAGGGAAGAGTTAATCAGGGCAGCCATCAGAAATTTTGGGGCCCCTTACATGGCTTTAGGCCGCCAACTGTCGCCACACTGAGCAAGTCACACTGTTATTATTATACATTTATATAGCTCTGCAATATACCACCATGCTTAACAGAGAACACTGAGCCAGTCACATCAGTATCTGTACCAGAGGAGCTTACACTCTAATGCAGAATGGCACTGGCTGTTGGGGGACTACAAATCCCAGCAACGATAAATTGTAGCTGGTGGTATTCTGCATTGCGCTATGTAATGTATTACTGCTGGGATGTGTTGTATTCCTCCATATCTGGTGGTATTCTCCATTGTGCTGTATAGAGGAATACAACAAATCCCAGCAATACAAAATACATACAGTGTATAATGTATTGCTGGGATTTGTATTTTTCTATAGCTGATGGTACATATGCAGCACAATATACCATCAGCTATAGAGGAATACAACCAATAACTATCCCAGCAATACATTTATACAGCATGTGGGGAAAAGTGCAGGTAGTCTTACCTGCACACTCTTCAAGCAACTTTACTTTCTTCCCCTGGGACTGTTGGCAGCTGCCGTTCCCTCACGCTGCAGTCTCCCTGCAACGACATGATCATCTTGGCGGGAAACGGCGGGAGAGAGCTCAGAGCTGGGTGAGGCGGCAAGGAGGTACGGCGTGAAGCATGCAGCGCGTGTGGAGCCACAAACTGGGGCAACTAATCGAAAGCCGACTAATTGATGATGAAAAACGTTGTCATCATTTCCCATCATCGATTAGTCGGCTTTCGATTAGTCGAATAGTTGTTGCAGCCCCAGTCACATCAGTCTTTGTACAGAGGAGCTTACACTCTAATGCACAATGGCACTGGCTGTAGGGGGACTACAAATCCCAGCAATACATTTATACAACAATGCAGAATATATGAATTGGACTCCGGGCTTAGCAACCCGCTGGACTCCGGGCTTAGCAACCCGCTGGACTCCGGGCTTAGCAACCCGCTGGACTCCGGGCTTAGCAACCCTCTGGACTCCGGGCTTAGCAACCTGCTGGACTCCGGGCTTAGCAACCCGCTGGACTCTGGGCTTAGCAACACGCTGGACGCAGGGCTTAGCAACCCGCTGGACGCAGACCGACCTGAGAGTGACCCTGCAAAGCCCACCATAGATGCTGCACAGCCTGACACTCTCTAAGGTGGGCTCTGCAGGGGTCTCAGGTGTGCTGGTCGGGGCTGCATCTCCCGGCCAGCTCCTCTTACCTGCTCCTGCTGCCTGTAAACCTGGCCTCTTCTGCCACCGGAGTGGCCGGAAGTGACGCAATATCACTTCCGGCCGGTCCGAGATCACAACACTGTGGCGCTGCTGGAGCCTTAGCCTTCTCCGAAGCCGCTGGATCGGCACTGCTGAGGCCCAGCACTGCTAGGGCCAGGCCTCCTCCGGCGCTGCAGGGACCCAGCCGCATCCTCCTTGCCTGTCACTGTCGGCCAATACCCATGTAAGGGTCCCGGGCCCCTTACAAGAGTATTGGCCATACCCCCCTGATGGCCACACTGGAGGTAAGTAACGGTATGATGTTCAAGTATAGCCTCAGCAACAGCATACTCTGGCAGTGTATATTTGGCTGTGGAATTGATTTTTTTTCTTCCACAATTTGCTTGGCTTACCTATAGTAACTGTAGCAGCACCTCAACCTGATTAATGATGTGCTTTTTTTAGTTATTTTTAGCTGCAACACTATTATCAAACAGTAGTAGGCTTGCTTTGACCCGCCTATAGAAATTGTCCAGTGGTTCACTGAGGGTGTCGTTGTTCTTACTAATGCAAAACTCTCCAGCCACTGGCCTATGTCTATCAAACTCTAATTTGGAATGTATAGATTGTAAATTATACAGCATTTCAAATTGACCAGCAGCAGGACAACTTTATTAGCAAGCCCAAATATACTAGAGACAAAGAGCACATACAGAGGTTTTACTATAAGATTTAGTTTCATCAGTGAAAAACTGGCCTGCAGCAGGACAAATTCAATCAGAGATAATAGGGCTAACTGACGTTAATAACCCTTTATGAAGTCAAGTCCCAAGTGGTTTTAACCCCCAAAACATTGTCAGTTGCACCCCCACCTCCCTGCTTCAAGGTCTCTGGTATTTAGGGTCCATTCACACAATAGCATTGTGTTAATCACACAATAATCACTGTACCTCAAACTAGTCAAAATAATTTTAAAAATATGAAAAAATAATAAAACAATAAGAACAAAAAGGCAGCAGATGGGTTTATTGCCCAAAGAGCTTGCAAGAGCAATTAAAGTACAGTTTTCTAAATGACCCTAATCTCTCCATGCAGTTTGTCCACTTTCCCTATCCTTTCCCTACAACAGCTTCAATACACTGTCCCTAAGGCTGCTCGTGTGCCCCCTCTTTTTAGTCAGGGGGCTGGCTTATCCAAAAACACCCTTATTGGCCAATCTAAACTTTCTGGTCATGATTCAAATGCCATGCAATTATGGTTTGAAAAAAAATTGCCCAGGTGGGACTCAAATTTCAAACCCAAGGTAAGGTCAAATCCAAACCTCATCCCTCCTAACAATATTGTATAGCCACGAAGAAAAGTTTTAGAAGCAACCCTTGCCCAGTATTTTGCTGAAACGTTAACACACTCCAGGCAATTAGGTCTGAAAATGTCATGAGCCTGTTTGTTTGATCACCATTTTGTGTATGCATGCATACAGAGGGATGAGTACAGCAGTTAACTTCATATCACATGTTTAGTGTTCCTACTGCCCACCATAACATAATCTACATTTCCAAGCTTCCTGACAAACCTGAAGTAATCTGCAGTGCAGTGCACAGTGATTTTCATAAGTCAAAATCAAATAACCGAAATCATAAACGGTACAAAATGAAAAATGTTGTTTTCATGTTAAAAAGCTGTTGATTTGGGGGGCGTGGCCTGAGCTGCAGAAGATCTCGGAAACCCACTTGTCCTCACGACTGTGGCAGCTACGGTATTTCTGGATCGATGTCTCCATTTTCGGTGTTTTGTTTTGTTTTTTTCTTCTTCTCCCCCCCTAATTTCATCCTTATACTCCCTCTTGAACGACTCCTCTACCCTCCCACCGACACACTCTATGAGAGCATGGGAACGTGATCTCTCAATATCCTTCACACAACAGGAGTGGGAACGAATTAATTCCCTACTTTTAGGAAGCTCCATGAATGTTCAAGTACAAGAAACTAACTATAAAGTTCGCTCACGCTGGTACAAAACCCCGGGCCCTACTCCATCGCATATACCCAGATGCCTCTGACCGGTGCTGGCGCTGCGACAGAGAAGTGGGCTCTCTATTGCACATTTGGTGGTCGTGCCCAATGATCTCGCCCTTTTGGACGTCGGTCCACACCCTAATTAAAACCATAACCGGAGTCTCGATGGAATTCTCCCCAGCTAGCCTCCTATTATACCATTTCGATGACACACTCCATGTTTCTAAAAAATCCCTCTCAATTCACCTACAGAATGGGGCAAAAACGGTGATTCCTAGACACTGGAAGTCACCATCCCCACCAACGATTCGGGAGTGGCTCTCCTGAATAGATTCAGTAGCGGCCATTGAGGAACTTATCCACTCTGGCAGAGATGACATGTCCAAGTATCTTAAAACCTGGACGTTGTGGCATTTATTCCGAGATTCGGAGGCATGCAAGGATTTAAGATGGTAACACTACTCCTATCTGCTCTGTTCTATGCAGTGCCTTCCTCCTTTCCATCTCTCCCTACTTATGGGTCGGACGGGACCCCTTCCCACTCCTTGTCTTCTCCCCCCACCTTCCTCCCTTCCCCCTATTCTTTCATCTACCCACACTTCCAGACCTGCTTCCTCCTTTCTCATAACTGCCCCCCCTGATCTCCAAACCCTCCTGGCAATGACAGCATCTCATAAACAGTAATCGCCCCCGGTATCCAAACCAGATCGGACTAGCAACGAACAACCTTTGGATAGTACGACAGCTAAACCCTCCTTGTTATAAACCTTTCCAAATGTTTAGTGATCATAGTACTCCCACAGTGTTAGTGGGATCTGTTAATTCTTTGGCCCGCCCGATTGAAGTATACATGTATTCCTTTCCATCCTACTTTGTGACTTAATGTGATACCAGTAAAATGGAATCTGAGCTCCCATGTTGGATCCCACCCAACCAATGCTATTGTACCCCCCTTTCTTTCGGTTTATTGCTTTGTAACACAGTTTTGGATATCACATGGCTGTTTTTGATTATTGGTTTAATGCCTATGTACCTGTCATTGTCTAGGCTCTAAACAATAAACATTTTACTTGTGAAAAAAAAAAAGGTGTTGATTTTCCTTTGGACGGGAGTTCTATTTAATCAAACTCATAATTACCATTATAAATTCCAAAACAGGTGTCAACAGGCATATCTATGTAGGATGCTATAACAAATGTAAGCTTAAATCACATCTACATTACATTTAATGAGAAAAAGCTTCTGCATGTATATCAAATGAAAAGCTTCTCATGGCCTAAACTCATCAAATGTACTTTTTATCAATGATGTAAAGTGCAAAGACTGCTTAACAAATATTCAATGAATATGTTATTATGTAAAAAAGCAATATGTGAGATGAAATGCATAATTTTAACATGCAGTAAATATGATTAATATAAATGTTAAAGTCTTACTCGTGAAGGGTGTGAGCTGGCATTTCATTGCGTTCATCTTCAATATAGCAATTCGTTTTGGCTTCAGGTATTGATGAATAGGTTTCCAACATTGCTGATGCAGCTGTAGTAATAATTCCAAGGCCATCCCTTACTCTTGCTTCCAGGCTATAATCCCAGTCATCATAAGATACAGAAACTAATCCAGAAGGAAATTCGAATGGTATGATTTCTTTGTTCCCCACAACTATGTTGGGTACAATCCAAATGTAACCATATCCCATAAGGCCAAGGGACCGAGATTCTTCAAAAATTTTAAGTGATTCTTCCTTTGAACAATAAAGGAGTATAACAGAAGAATGGATTTTCTTCAGCTGATTTAGCGTTTGTGCATCAGTATATGATGCATCCAAAGTAATTACATTCTGCACTTCCCAATCCACAAAACTATTGTCCACTGTGTTTTTTATGAAACTTATAAAGCCTCGATATCCTGGAAAAGTGCTTGTTATAATAGAAAATACATGCCAGTCATATTCCACCATAATGCTAAGCATGGCGGTAGCCTGCTGAGTGATGGAAGCTCCAAACTGGAAGAATGTAGATGTTGCATCCTGTAAAGAGAAATGTATATATTAGCATACACCAGATACAAATGCGCAATGCTGTTGACCCCAGGTTTTTATAAAACTAACCCTTGTAGTGGGGCTACCCTTGCACTGCAAGGGTTAACTGCTCATTATGGTTGAGGGGGCCAGAAAAAAAATATATACTCACCTGATCCTCAGTCCTGCGGCAGTCTGCACTCACCTCTCTTCCCCTCGACTCTGGCAGTGGTACATTCCTCGGAATCCTCATGTCTAATGCAAGCCTACGTAACCTGCATTAGACGTGATGATGTCAGTCGTTTTTAGAACACTTGAGCCCAGGGGAGAAGAGGCTGCGGGGACTGGTCCAGCAGCCAGACGGGACTAAGGATTACTGAATATTTTCATTAATTGCTTCCCTACACCAAAAAGAGCAATTAACCATTGCAGTGAGGGGGGAAAGGTTAGTTTTTTTAAAATCCTGGAGTTCTTTCTTAAATAGAGAGTGTAAACTAGTTTAGCTGATAAGGACAAAGAGTAATTAAACAATACTGTGCAATGATTATAAATGATGAGTACCATGGCAGCAATAATAATAGATGTAGTAAATAATTTTAGTTCATTTTGAAGTTTCACTATGGGCAAAATCAAAAAGTACATTACATTAGAGTATGATGCAATCTGTCTAGCATTACAGAGCAGGTTTGCTTTTCTGAATCCCCCCACCCCCCAGTAATACTCTTTTATTATCTGTTAATCCTGCAAGTAGATCCATTATTTTTCACTTCTTTTAACACATTCATTTTGCAGTAAAATCACTCAGTAGATTTGTCACACTGTAGTCGGGGTAAGCTTTAAAGAAGAACTCCGGGCAGAAGAAAACTTAACCCTTGCAGTGGGGCTACTGCCGCACTGCAGGGTTAAGTGCTCTTTTCATCCAGGGTCTAAAATAAAAAAGATATACTCAACCAAACCTCGGCTGCTAGACCGGTCCCTGCAGCCTTTTCCCCTCTGCTCCATTGTATTGGACGTGATGACTCACATGTTAACTATGTTAATAAAGGCTGACCATTGAAAGCAGTCCCAGCAGTGTTATAAGGTTTGTCCCAAAACCCAAAACAGTCCCTTTTGCTTGACAGCTTATTCTGCATGTACCTTACATTTGGAAAATATTTACTGTAAGTAAACAAATGTGAAATAATAAAAGGAATTCATATGGTAAACAATATCATTAGAAGTATTAATCCAATAAAGTTACCAGAATACAATATTTTTTTACTGCAGTGGAACTTTGTGTGTTGGCAAAAGATAAAAAATGTGTATACCATCATTCATTTCTCACATATTCATTAGTATAATACATAATTATTAATTTATTTAAAGGCCATGAATTACACACAACTAATCCAGAGTGATGCTGGGCACACACCTTACAACCATCGCAAGACTTTTGTCTTGCGTTGGTTGCAGTGGCGTAACAATTCAATACCGAATGGGCAGTGTGCGCTTGCGCACACCGGCCCGCCCGGCTTTTATCTTACGAACATGCTACACACCCACCGAACATCGCACGATGCTTGGCGGGTTTTCGAACATGTTCATAAGTTAAAAGCCGTGCGACCTTACAGTAGTAGAGGTCGCACGGCTTCCACACACCTTACGATAATCGTACGATCGCGGGATTTTCCATGACTTAACCAGACCTCACTGTCAAATATGTCTCTCTAAAACAGCAACATCAGAATATCCACTCATGGACAGTGCTATTATGGTTTACAGGGTTAATCATCACTAGTAGTTCTGCTCAGCCTGAGAGCAGGGCCAGGAAACTGTATTCACTAATATACAGTATATACACATAGGAAACTTGAATAATGATTCCCCTAGGTAGTGTAGTGATGGGCAAATCTTCCCAGGTTTAGTCCACTAAGGGTTCGACACAGGGGCGGATCCAGAGTCTATTCTCGGGAGGGGCACTGCCAGAAAATTAAGTTTTGCTTACACAACGGTTAATATTAATTATGTTATTATGTTAATAACGGTTCCCGGCCAACCACAATTAAGCCGGCCTTTCAGCAGGCTGCGAATGGGGTTTTGGCAGGCTGGGGGTGGAGCGTGCTGGGGCGGGGCTGGAGAATGCCTCACCCAGCACTGAAGGTACCACATATCACTGTTCGACACATCTTTTTCAAAATGTGATGAACCCAAACCTAACTCCTTGCAGTCTGCCCATCGGAAAAATACGGGCGGGCTGCGGATGCTTCCTGGCGGGTGGATGTACAAGTACATGATTTTTTTTCTGCTCGCAGGCGTGCACGAACAGAATCCCACCAGGTTACCGGCTGTTTCATACAAGCGTTTGGGCCGGTTATCCCGGGCACCGCTGTCCCCCCTGCGGTGCTCGGGACCGAGAACACCGGCTCAGAGGCTGCTAGTAGAGAGAAGGAGATCAGCATTTCCCCCACCGCTTATCTCTCCTCTTTCTCCCTCTAAACGTGGAAGCGATGTGTATTACATCACTTCCACCTTTAGTTGCCATTTCTCTGGCTGAGAGGCAGAGAAGAAGCCGGTGAAGCAAATCTCTGCTTCATCAGCTTCTTCAGTGTCTTAGAGACCCCTGATGTCTCCATAAACAGGACCTGTCATTGTTTTTTAGCTATCACATAAGGGGGCTTTTTATCCCCCTATGTGAGAGCAATCAAATTAAGTGTATAAAAAAAAAGTTTTAAAAAAGGAAAGTCTCATATTGAAAAAAATAAAAAAAACACCCAAAAATGTTTCAAGTCCCCCCGCCCAGGCGTGCAGGCACTTAAATAAATGTAAATACTCATCGGGCGCGCCTACGTTCGAAAACAATGATTACACCACACATGTTACATATCGCCGCATACATCGGAGTGTGAGCAATAATTCTAGGGTCATTAATCACTGATAACACTAAACTGATGAGCAGTAAAAGCTTATAAACCATCGCCCATGGCCAATTTTAGGCATGGTAGTTTTTTTGCGATTTCACGGGTGCACGCAATTTTTAAGCTTGATATGTTGGGGGTCATTGTAGACCACAGATCGCGGTGCCAGGATGCTGTAAACAAAGCAAGCAAGCAGAGTACTGTCTTGTATTAAGAAGGAAATGTATTGCAGGGACAAGTCTATAATGTTGCCACTTTACAGATCACTGGTTCGGACTCATCTGGAGTACGCGGTCCAGTTTTGGTCACCAGTACTCAGAAAAGATGTCCTTGTGCTGGAAAAAGTCCAGTGGAGGGCAACCAAACTCATTAAGGGGATGGAGGACCAGAGCTATGAAACAAGGTTGTTAAAATTAAATATGTTCTCTATGGAAGTAAGGAGATTAAGGGGAGACATGATTTTCTTGTATAAATGTTCAATGGTGATAGCCAATGGCGTCACAAGGGCTGTGCGGGGGGTGCGGCCTGCACCCGGTTGACACCATTGGAGAGGTGACACCAAAATGACTGACAGTCATTTTGGTGTCACCCCCCTCTACAAAGTCGGCAATCGGTCATGAACCGAACGCCCGACAGTATCAGGAGAGAGGAGGGGACCCAGTGGCATACCTTATCCCGTCAGGTGACTGTCCCCTCCGATCTCTGCCGGCATCCATCACCAAGATGGCCGCCTGCAGGTATCAGAAGACTGACGCGCGTGCGCGATGACGTCATCGTGCACGCGTGTTGTGACGTCTCGGCGGGGACTCTCGGTTACCGCTCCGCGTGTCACCCAGCCGCGGGACGCCCCTGGTGATAGCAACATTATTAACAAATTCTTCACGGTTAACCCCATAACAAAGACTAGAGGCCACCACCAAAAACTGGTGAAGAAAAAGTTTCAGCACACGGGGCACAAGGGGTTCTTCTCAGTTAGCGCGGTTAAGGTCTGGAACTCTCTGCCACAGGCAGTGATTTCAGCTAAGAGTGTGGAATCATTCAAGAAACTCCTGAATGATTTCCTTGGAGACCATAAGATACAGGGGTACAGGTACTGCTAAGAGCAAAATCACACATGGACTCATACACATGCACACACCAGCTCAACCATAAATGCATACACGCAATAGGTTGGACTTGATGGACTTATGTCTTTATTCAACCTCAAATACTATGTAACTATGTTTGGTGTCTATTTACCCGACATGACCCCATCTTTAATATTTTACCAAAATATTGTGTAATAATAAATGTTTTATAACATAACATAGGGAAAACAGGTTTTTTTTTCAAAATTTTTGGTTCTTTTTTCATTATATAGTTAAAAAAAAAACCTGTAGTGGTCATTAAATACCACCAAAAAGTATGCTCTATCTGTGCCCAAAAAATGGTATAAAATTAATTTCAGTACAGCGTTGCATGACTGAATAAATGTCAAAGTACCACAGCGCTGAATACTGAAAAATGGCCTAGACAGGAAGTGAGTTAACACCTTGGTCAGCAAGTGGTTAATGGCAAACTCCAATGAAGTCTATAGGAGGAAAATCTTGTTGATAAATTCTGGCCATTTTTAGGGCTAATAGGAAAAAAAAAATATTGTACAGCAGGGAGAGGGTCTTTTTATGCAGATTTAAGGGCAACATTGAAAATATATAAATTAGGGCTGCGGAAAATAACAATTAATTCCTCGATTAATCGTTAATTTCTTTGATCGATTAAAAATTTTTTGATCGGTACTCACCTCTCCGCCGGCTTCCGGGTCTTCCGGGAGTCCCGTCGCAGATCCGGTGACGTCACGGACATCGACGTCATCGGACTCCTCCCCACTTCCACAAGTGGCACTGTCGGCTAACGAAGGGAAGGGGGAGGAGTCCGGTGACGTCGATGTCCGTGACATCACCGGACTCCTCCCCCCTTCCCTTCGTTAGACGACGGAGACGGAGAGAAGATTCAGAAGTGTCACATGACCTTTAGGTAGGTTTTTTTTATTTGTCATGATGACTTGGATTTGGAACGCAGTGTTTCAATTTTGAGTTCAATCGCAGAAGGATACTCTTTACAAGTTACTTATTAGTAATGTGGTAATGATAGCAGATAATATGGAAACAACACGGCCAGGTACAGGGAGTGTGAATATGTATTGGCCATAATAGCTTCATATTCTCAAATAGAACCTTTAGTAAAAGCAATACAAAGCAGCATTTGCTGGCCTACCTCTGATTTGCAATGCTTCAACTGACTTTCTATTAGGAGGACTGAAGCATATAACTTTTTTTAGCATCCCTTTGCCTCCCCCCCTGGAGTCCAGGAGCCTGGGTAC